CAGTGGTGGGTTTCAAAAAAATTTGGAACCTCTTCTGTAGGTGTGGCCTGCTTTCCGGGTCCACTGGTGGAACCTCTTCTAATGGTTCGGTAGATTTGACGAACTGGTTCTACCGAATAGGTGCGAACTGGTAGGAACCCACCTCTGTAACAGACTAATATTTTATAGCTTAAAGTGTAAAAAATACATAGCAGGCAAAAGTAATCATTCCTCCTTATTTTATTTCTAAACATCTTTCATGCCTTTTGCGTAGGCAAAATAAGTATAAAAGATATGTCATATTTGTTTTGTTTCTAAAAATAGGTTTACAAAGACTTAAAATTCACATAAAAGGACAGCATATTGATCTGTAAAACTGTAGACTGAGATGTTAATATACACAATATAATGCAAAATGCAAATGCAAAAAAATTGTGAAATAGTCCTTGGAGACATATTTAGACATTCAAATAAAATCCAGGTTAGAGCTCCTCACACTTCAGGTGCATTCAGTCTTTTAAACCTGTGGTCCATGGTCCCCTGGGGGCATGTGATGTTGACACAGGGAGTCGTGAAGGCTTAAATAAATTTATGATTTAAATCTTGAGTTAGGTTTTTGGGGGTCTGGGGCCATTGTCCATGGCCACAAAAGATATTTAAAGGGCATCTCTGATGAATAACAGTTTGAGAACCACTATTTTAAAGACATAGTAAAATTAGAGCCATGTTAGCTGATGATGAAGAGACACGGTGGCTCAGTGGCTAAGACACTGAGCTTGTCGATCAGAAAGGTCGGCAGTTCGGTGGTTCAAATCTCTAGCGCCACGTAATGGAGTGAGCTCCTGTTACTTGTCCCAGCTTCTGCCAACCTAGCAGTTTGAAAGCATGTAAAAATGCAAGTAGAAAAATATGGGCCACCTTTGGTGGGAAAGTAACAGCGTTCCATGCCCCTTCGATGTTTAGTCATGGTGGACATATGACCACAGAGACATCTTCAGACAGCGCTGGCTCTTTAGCTTTGAGACGGAGATGAGCACTGCCCCCTAGAGTTGGAAACAATTAGCACATATCATATGTGCAAGGGGAACATTTACCTTTTCAGTTGATGGTAGCAGAAATCAGAAGGGACACCTCACAAAAGCTTAAGCCTTTTAATAAAAACTGTTAGTCTGAAAAGGTGCTACTAGACTCCTGATAATACCTTTGTCAAGAAAGAAAGTTGTCTAATCTCCACTGTATATAAAATGATTGTTCTGAGAAAACATGCATTAATATTCAGGTTTGTTGTCTAAAAACAACCCCCAAATAATCAAACACCCCCAAATGATCAAACAGTAAGCATGTAACAGTAATTCCATGTAAGTATTTTGCTTGCCTGTGGGGTATGCCAAATAATTTTCAGTGGACATACATAGGTACTTAAAAATTTATGCAGTCAGATTACAAAGTGATCTGGTAAAATGTTTTAATAAAGTAAGGACCGAATAGTCCATTTTCTTAGCAAATCTATATATTAAGAGTCTGTACCTTATATACATTAGCCAGTATTAATTAGCATGTTTTCCAATTGTAACTTCATTGCTATAACAGTTTATATTCAGATGGCTGGCCATATGAAGCAGGGATCTGGGAATTTCTCTCACTATCTCTTGATTTTTACCTTTACTACTATTGCAATTATCTCAAACTGTGGTCTATATATATTTATATCTCTCGGTGCAAGAAAATCACATTTGCTCTCAAGTAATGGTAGAGCAACAGTGCACTCTTTCTCCTAAGAATGTGAGAAAAGCTTTTTTTTTTTAAATCAAGACAAAGACATCTATAATCCAGTACTCTTCTGCTGCCCCCAGGAACCAATCAAATGTTCAGGATGTTAAAGCAACCTTTTATCATTTGTTCTCAATCAGGTGGTAATTTGAACTCCACAGAGAATGGAAAGCCCCCATGAATAATAAGTGCTATTAGCCTTATTATCCCAGAACGTTATTTCCAGCAGTACATCTGTACTATGGCAATATGCAATTTTATTTTCTTCGTTTAATTTGCTGTTAAACATAGAACAACTTATACTGCTCTTGAAAAATGTTCTTATAGGATAATATAGATTAACTTTCTCCAACTTCATACCCTACAAAATTACCTGGATTGCAAAATGCACAATTCCCGGACTGAATTTGGGGCTTTGCAATTTCATCATATCTAAAGGGCGCAAAGGCAAGGATAGACTGTAAAATAGGGATGCTTATCTGAAGTTGATAAGCATTTAGAACTCTGCACTATGGAAAAAATCAGAATAATAATGAAAACTGAAGCATAACTCTTTATAAATCATGAATTATCATCCATCTAAATTTAGGTGTTCTTTTAAAGTTGCCAACACAGTGTTGTTTTGTTCAGACAGAATGCCAAGTATTCATCTTAGACCATATCCCTACTTGTAAATTCACCATTCTATGGAATATCCACAGTCTGTGAATAACTTAATAGCCCTTTGTCAAATCCTGGCTGTTCCGGCAGGCCTGGGGCTGTTGACCTAATTGTTGATGTCCAGACCCGATTAGAATGAATGTATGTGGTGTTGTGATTTTAAACTGTCTTTTTTTTTTCTCTCTTTTTTTTGTAAGACGCCCGGAGTTCTTCGGGATTGGGCGGCATATAAATTTTGATAATAAATAAATAAATAATAAATAAATAAATAAATAAATAAAGCATTATGATAACCAAAACAATAGTATTAGAGTTCAAATATAAAATACAAAATAACAAGTTTCAAATACCTCTGAGTTTTATAGTAAAAGGGACAATAATTTATATAGAGAGGCACCATTCTTTTCTATTTCACTTTCTCTGTTCCTCTCTTTAAAACTTCTCACCCTTTAAAAAAAATTGTGATGGTGTTACTTCTACCAGGATAACTACTCACAAATTGAAGACTAGTGGATCAATAGATCTTTCCCCTACCTGAGAGTTTCCAAATGCGTTGGGACTCTGAAAATTACACAAATGTGGTAAGAAATTGGGCAGCTGTGATCCCAGCAGATATGGAAGACATCATTTGGGAGAAAGATGATTTAGAGGGAGGCCTATCATGATAGTCAACCAAGGTCAGATATAATTTAATAATAACAAAGTGTATTTTAGTATAGTGGAACATCACATTTTGAACAGTTCTGTCAGTAATGTAAATGACTAATGAAGGCATAGGTGAAAAGGATTTTTTTTTCGTAATCGACATCATATTATGAAACTTTAATTTGAATTCTTTTTTCCCCTCTTCGCAGTATTGCCAAGTAGAACTATTTTTCAGCATCTTTACTTTGATTTTAATACATAATGTTCTTAATTTTTTAAAGCCAAAGCCAAGTGAAACTGTCACAACTGATGAATCTGGGGTAAGATAGCAAACTAACCCCAGTGATTGTACATCTACTTCAAGTTTATTCTTTTTATTATTTTTTCCTCCACTGGTGTTTGTTTTTTTTTGTATTTGTCCTACAAAAATGTATGCAGTGATTGATTTTGTTGTCAGTGTACCTATCAAACCGTACTACAGGAAAATTCAACTTGACCCTATTAACAATGTCAAAAGCATGGAAATGCATGTGATGAGTGAAGCATTTGTACGGATTTTGTGTACCAGCATGTAATTTTTTTCCTGTCACCTCATACTTATAAAATGGAAAAGGACCCAGAGACACATATTCCAACCTTAGTTCTTTCACCTTTGCATTTGTTATTGTTTTTTTCTTTTCTCCCGAATTGTTCTGTATTCTGCTTTTTACATGGTTTGATTTCTGTATAATACCCTATAGAACAGTGAAGACAGTGCTAGAATCTCCATCACATTTTTCCGTCTGTTCCGAGTTATGCGATTAGTGAAGCTCCTCAGCAGGGGAGAAGGAATCCGAACTTTATTGTGGACATTTATTAAGTCATTTCAGGTATGCGTAACATTTAAAAGAATTGCTTTTTTCGAGTCAAAATGCAATGTATTAGGTATTGCACGGTGATCCAGAGGGAAACGCATTATAAACAATGGTGATGTGTATTATCAGGATGTTCAATATCTCTGTGTCTCTCTGTTCTGTGTGCTTTTGTGTGTACGTGTGCATGGCTATGCATACATATCAGGGGTGGGTTTCTCGCCCTGTTCCAACCGGTTCGGTTGGAACGGGGCCGGCGGCGTCCTCGTGCACGCGCGCAGCGCACGCATGCATACTAGCGTCTGTGCGATGCTCCAGCTGCTCCTGGAGGATTGCGCAGGCGCTGTATGCGTCCTGCGCATGCGTGGAAGCGCAGAACTCATCAAAACCGGATAAGGAACGTGGGTGGGCAAGTGGGCCCGTCGCCGTTCCCGGAAGTTACTTACTTCCGGGTTCGCCAACCAACTGGTTCGCGGGGACCACCACGAACCGGTTGAAACCCACCCCTGATACATATACATATATAACTGAACTTGCATTATATTGATTGGAATATATATTTATATTATTTTAGTTATTTTTTAGTTATTTTTTACATTTATGTACTGCCCAGCTTTCTCAAAGAGGGACTGGTGGTATACAATAAAATGTTAAAATATAAAACAGTATATATGAAAGTTAAAACATTTTTAAAAATTTAAGAGGAGACAAGAGATTAAAATTAGTTGAAAGGCAAATGGAGGGCTTTCAGGGAACTAACTGGCCCCAAGACTGCATATTCCCCTGGGCTCACCAGGTAAGGCTGCAGAGCATGTCTTAACTTCTATTTGGCAGGCCAGGAAACTGGGGGTCAGTCTCACCTCTGCAGAATAATATTCCACAAGGTGCGGGCAACAGCTCTCTTCCTAGAGTCCACCGATAAGAATTCTTTAAATGATGGGGTCTGTAACATTCCCTGCCTGCCTGATTGGGTGGGATGGGATGATGGGATGGGATGAAGACAGTTCTGTAGGTACCTTGGCCCCATACCAACAAAGATCTGATTATGTGTATAGATCTGAATAATATAATAATCTGCATAGCACTTAGATTGTGCCCAATTCTTTGCAGTTCTGATTAAACATTTTTACAAGAAATTGGTGAGACATATTTTCTGTGTGCCCATGATTACAGACTAAGGATAATAACCTGGCTCGTAACTGTTGCTGTTAGTTCAAAAATGCTAATTCTTCATTAAGAAATATGCAATCATAGTTCTTAATTGTTCAACAGGGTGAAAATTACTAATTAAAATCATTAGTAATTTGGAATACTAGTTTCAAAAGCATTTATTAACCATAAAGTCTAATCCTATACCGATAGCCCTTGACTTGCAACCACAATTGAGGGTAAAATTTATGTTGTTAAGTGAGAGTTTGTTAAGGGAGTTTTGCCCCAATTTACAACATTTCTTGCCACAATTGGTAAGTAAATCACTACAGTTAGGTTAGCAACACGGTTGTTAAGTGAATTTGGTTTCCCCATTGACTTTTCTTGTTATCACTTTGCAAAAAGTGATCACATGACCCTGGGACACAGCAATGGTCATAAATATGAACCAGTTGCCAAGCACCTGAATTTTGATCACATGATCATGGGGATGCTGCAAAGGTTGTAACTGTGAAAACATTCATAAGTCATTTTTTTTCCTGTACCATTGAATGAATGGTGTCACTAAATGAATTGTTGTAAATCAAGGATTACCTGTATACGTTATTTTAAAATAACATTTAAAGTAAAGTAAAACTCAGCTTTATGTTGAGTCACTACCCTGAAATAGCAAGCAACATTGAAGCCAACACATTAGTGTCATTTAGTACAACATACTTTCATCTGTGGATAGCATTTTAAATAACTGTAGAGTTTTCCCTGCCAATCTTTGTCTATTTATTTCTGATGAGTAGAAATTAAAATTAGAAAAACGTATAGTCCACACATAATAGCTTCAAAAATAGATGCAAGTTATTATTTTCAAACTTCCTTTCATTTTAGGCTCTGCCATATGTTGCCCTTCTGATAGCTATGTTGTTTTTCATCTATGCTGTTATTGGAATGCAGGTAATAAAAACAAATTATTTTTTTCCTAATGAGGAAGTATATGAGGAAAGTCAATTATAAAGGGATGGGATATTGACAGTCTCTTGCCAATCTGTGTTAGAATACTTATTGTATGTAGAGAATGTGCTAATGTGCTGCCAACACTTTCATTAAGACTCCTGGACAAATTTAGCAGTTAAAGGATTTTTTTTAACCCCTGGACTGAACTGCGGTCAATGCTACTTAATTCATTTACAAATGGGAAATGAGGTTTGTAATAGTCTTTTCTATATAGTAAAAGCTTGCAAAGAGGCAATAACATGGCAATTGACATAGTCATAGATTAAACCAATGAAATGGTTAGTGATCAGTGGTGGGATACAACCGGTATGCCCCAGTATGGGCGTACAGGTGCCTGCTGGGAGCACAGGTGCCATTTCAGTACGGTGCTTCGGAGTGCCCACCTGCTCTCCCGCTCTCCTTACCTGTATTTGAGCTGATCAGGGCTTACATACACATGCACGGAGTGTACAGCGCCTGTGCAATGCACTGCCGAGCAGCTGGAGCGTCGCGAGCGGTAAGTACGCATGCACGTGCTACATGCGTGCATTTGGTGGACGCCTGGTCCCGTTGCACCATACTGGTTGCAACGGGATCCGGAACCCACCACTGTTAGTGATCATTAACCATAGCATGGTAGTAATGCAACAGAAAAAAATACATATTAGGAATTAGGATTGAAATCAGCACAACTAAATATGAGTAGGATCTTTCTTTAAATACCATCTATTACAGAGTCAGAAAAGTTTCTGATTAATATAATAAACAATTTGAAGTGCTAAATTATCTCCCCCTTAACAAAGTGCTGAAATATTTGGCATTTTTTTTAGTTTGGTGGTTGGGGAAAACAAACCATAGACAATGTATAAAAGCTATAAGTAAGCCCCCAAAGGCTGCTTGGTGGGTTGAAAATTTCTGCCCACTCTTTTATTTTCCATTACTTTTTCTCCAGTTTCTTTCAGTTTCCTTCCCTACTCCTTGCAATTGTACCATCTTCTTTCACTCAGTCTTGCTCTAGGCCTGTTTGCCATAGGACAAAGATGCTCCACCAACCACTTTTAGGGGTATTTCTTCACAGTATATGCCACAACTAAACAGCTACATTTTGCTGCATTCCACTCTCATCAGAAAATCATGCCATTCTAAATCTTGCTGCATCTACAATGCATGCCCACCAATGTAGAGAGTAAGAAAGATAACCCTGGATAAAGATGTGCAGGAACCTGGACCAAGATTTAAGTTTAGAAAGTCCAAATAATATTTAAAATTGGCTCAGGCAGGTCTAATTGTCTAAACTATAAGGAGAAGGAGATGCATCCCAATCAGGCTTTCATAATTTTTTATTAGTCAATCTCAGTACAAGTACTTATTGTGTGAAGCTGATTTTATGGCCTGTTCTACCTAATGAGCCTGATACTGGGCACCAGAATGGGTCTGTGTTGTGCTGCTCTCTATATGTTGTTACCATGAAAAATCCCATATTAAGCTTGAAATTCCAACCCAAAGGAAATACTCCATCCAGTAAAAAGCCTCCACCAGTAGGTGTGCACAGTAATCTGGTAACTACTCCATCCATTCATCAATTGAATAATTAATTTTCAAAAATGTTAAATTTATGGGACAGCTATTCATTTACAAGGTAGCAGCAAACAATTAAAGTTTAATGTTTTGGCTGCTTGCTAATAAGCCAATTGGTTGACAGAAAGATGAAAGAAATAAAGCCAGTCCTACAGTGCTCAAATTCAACATCTTGAGGAGCAATATTAGAGAAGCAGAGTAATACACCCTAAGCTGTTCCCTGGGTGGCTCATCTACAGTTTAAACTGGAGTACAGGAAAAGACCCTCCACCCACAACCAGAAGGAGGAAATGAGTGAGACAAAAGGAGAGAAGATAATAGAGGTGGAGATGATGCAAATCCCAAATGTGACAAGGTGGCAACAGTGTTTTGGATCTTAGAGATTATATAAATGTATTTAAGGCTAACCCAAACATCAGTTAACTAAGAAAGGTGGGAAGAAAACGTAGACAGTTTTGACTGGAGCATAGACCTATATAAAGGTATTGACTTCTTTATATCACAGAGGACAATCTATGTGTATATAGCTTCATTTTTCTCTATAATTGAGTTTTATCCAATTGATTCGTATCTAGAAGTCTTTTATTAGATAAAATAATCCAGAATAAAGTAAATAAATTAAACACCTGGAGAGCTGAGGTTTACTACCAATCTGTATTGTAAAACCTGACAATTATGGCTAAGGATCAATGTGCCAGTAAATAATAATTATTAGTATTAGTATTATTAGTATTAGGGTTCAAAAATAGGAAATGTTTCATATTACAGGCATCTGACTCAATACTGCAGGAAATCAACTGTTTAGGCTTATCAAAATTGCAAAAGGTTACCATGGGTAAGCTGTTACTTCTCTTTCAGGTATTTGGCAAAGTTGCTCTGAAAGATGGCAATCAAATTAACAGGAACAACAACTTTCAAACCTTCCCCCAAGCGGTGCTTCTTCTCTTCCGGTAGAATTTGTTTATTACTGGCATAGAATATATAAGGATCCAGTTTGGTCTAGTGGTTAAGATACTAAGTTAGGAACCAGGAGACTGCGTGTTCTAGTCCCACCTTAGGCATGAAAGCTGGCTAGGTGATTTTGGGCCGGTCACTTTTTCTCTCAGCCCATAACATCAGGCTAGGGCAATAAAACAGTTGGTCAATTCCTGTTATAACCAAATGGATCAATCCTTGGTTGACCTGGAAAAAGGGTGCTTTGAACTTGTGGAGTACTTTGAAACTCTAGGAAGAAAAAAAAAGAGTTCAAAAATGTGTGCAATGGTTTTGTGGTAGGTTGTGAAAAAACACTTTATTAACATAAGAAGTTAAACTTCTGTTCCTTCAACAGTACATATAATATATAGGTCATAAACAAGTGAAGTATTTAACATACCTTAATCCAAGATGGGACATCAGATGAATCATTATGGTACTTTTTCTGGAACTTCTGAGTATTCCACATATATTTAGTTTGCCAATGAATTAAAAATGACAGCGAAGAAGCTAGAATGCAAGAAATGCCAGATTCTTGCTTGTTTTCTATCATTTGGTGATTTTTACAATTTTTCAAACGTTTAATGTTTTACTTAAAAAGAAATGAAAATATTCACTTTAAACTTCTACCATGTTGTAAACAGCCTGAAACAGTTGTCCCGTTCGATACTTTTCATAATGCAGAAAGAGACACTTCATGAGTAGATATGTTTTATGTGGTCATCAGTAGCTAACAGAAAAAGACAAAGGACTGCAGGAGATACACTGCAATGACTTCCAATTAAAATGTCAATTGCCAAAGATCAATGTGAGAGTCTATAATTGAATATGAGTAGAAATTACATATGAGAGCTAAAAGGCAATTTAGGTAGCCTAACCGTTTACTGTCCACATCTCCTCCCTTACAGCCCCAAATAACATGACGGTACAGTTAGATAAGTCTGTGTTAAAATTATACATTCAGTAGCTGCTGGATCCCTGTCCTGTCCAATGGGATTGCAAGGAACATCAACAATACATTTAAAGCTGGTAGATTCATAGGAAAAGCAGAGAGGAAAGCCCCATCCAGGGACCAGAAAGTGCAGAGGTAGCACCATACAATTAAAACATATATAGTATAAGCTAGTTAAGCAGCAGACTCAAGTTCAGACTAAGAAAATTTGGTCAGAGTTTGTCTACACAGATACTAAGGTATGTAGATTGTTTGGGACTGACTGCAGTAGCACAGGAAAGCAAATGATAAAACTGTATTTTGACAACACAACAAAACCATGTGACTTGCATTATCTGCACTCAATGTTGGGATACAAATATTAAAGGCCAGGGTGCATGTTTCATCATTTTTTTCAACAACACAGTTTGCCCAGACGCCTATACAAAGGAAGACTGTACCTAATACTCTCTTAAAATTGGTTTTGTAAAACAAAATAATAATATAGTTATCTGTCTTGTGTATGAATTCTGGGCCACTGACATCAACAAAAGCAATAGAATAAAACATCTACAGATCAAGTTAAAAAATTAAAGCATTCATAACACAACAGTAGTCAAGTGGTATATATATTACAGTATCAGACTCAACAAACCACACTTACATTAGGCTCATCTAACTGCCTGGAAAGTTATATTTTTTTTCCTCAATATCTGGGAGAAAAAAATCAAGACTTCACAGTCTTCTGGAAGGCCAGGAGGGTGGAAACTGAGTATAGGGGAGTCTGCTTCATAGGATAGGTGCCATAACAGTTGGTCCTTGGTCTAACAAGATGGCATTATTTAATAGAAGGGATGGAGCAAATTTAGAGATGATCTTGGAGAAACTGTTCAGAGGTGACTACAACATGTACAAAAAATGTTTTAAGCTTATGAAACAAGGAAAGATTAGGAAGAAGCCCAACCTGGCTAGACCCTGACTCTCTGAAGTATAGGATGGAAGGAGAAGTAGGATACCTCCTGCATTAATTGTGCCATTCTCAATGGTTGCCTAATAATATAGTGTAATTGGAGTTCTGTATATTTCTGGGCTGCTTATTCATTTAACCCCTAAATCTATGTGGGCTCTAGATGTTACATGTACAAGCAGCCTAGGACTCCTATAGGACTCCTATTACACTACATCATAAGGCAACCATTGAGAATAATTACTAAAAACCGCCAGCATAGTACATTAATACTGATAAAATCAATGTACTTATACTTTCAAGATTTTAATGTGAATAGACATAAATATTTAATATATTTTTAAATAAACAGCCATAGCATGACTCTTTACTGTGCACTCACTCAAATTGTCTGGGACCATTACTAGAAAACAATAATAGTAATGTTATGCTAAAAAGAACCAATATTACTTGTCTTATTTTATCTTCCTTTGTTCCATATTAAAGGTGTGCTACAGGAGAGGCTTGGCAGGACATCATGCTAGCTTGCATGCCAGGAAAACGTTGTGATTCAGACTCCGATTTTAACCCTGGAGAAGAATACACATGTGGAAGCAATTTTGCTATTATTTATTTCATCAGTTTCTATATGTTATGTGCTTTTTTGGTGAGTCTAGAAAGTAAAATTTCTGAATGGCTAAAATTTGAACAGGCAAATGTACTAAAGATTAATTATATTAACTCACAAAGCATATGTTATGTCATGTTTAGTTTATTTAGTTTAGTTTAACTTATAGTTTCCTTTCCTTATTGCTGTTACTCATATGGTGCTCCACTTTCAAAAACTTTGTATGCCTACAGTATTAATATCAGATAAAAACCAAATTTGAGTTAATTCAATTATTATCCATCAGTATAATGTATTCCTTTTCAAGATAACATGCTCTTATTTTTCCTCAAAAAGCTTTCTGAAGGGCATGGATTTTATGGCTTTCCAAAAATATAGGAAGAAGAGGGTGTTATAAATATTTGGAGGGTAAGATGTGTGTTCCAAAGGAGGGGACAGTCCCAAAGAGAACACTGCATGTAATCTATCTACAGAGTGCTAAGTGTATGAGTGACTAAGAAGAAAGACTCTTGATCTAGAAAAGATCACAATTGAAGCAAAATAATCAATATAATGATGGTTGTAAAAAGGCATTCATGCCTACAGCTTACTCTTGTTATTCAGTCAAGAATCATGGGTGCAATAGGACTCCCAAGTTGTGGGACAACTCTATTTGCAGAAGCATCATCTTATCCAGAATCAAATATGAACTATTTCTGGAGTCAAATCCAATTCTGTCTTAATAGGTTTTAGTGAAATCCCATTTTTGGACCAAAATAGCCTCTGAGTTTACCATATCATTTACATGGTGGGGATATAATTGGATTGGATACCATCAGCATATTGAAACTTCAACTCATGCCAGCAGATGATCTAGCTTAGTAACTTTGCATGATAGTGGGGAGAAAATCAAGTCTTGTAGCAGTCCATAATGGAGCACTTGACCTCCTTCTATTAACTGACATCAGCCTAACATCAACCAGCCTAACATTAATACATGGCAAGATACTGGAAAAGATAATTTAAAAAACCAGATCTATGAACATCTAGAAACAAATAAACATATAACTAAAAGCCAGCATAGGTTTATTAAAAACAGGTCATGCCAAACCAATCTTATTTCATTCTTTGACAAAGTGACTAAATTAGTAGACCATTGAAATTCTGTGGATGTAGTATATCTAGATTACAGTGGCATTCGACAAAGTAGATCACAAACTTCTTGGTAAATTAGAAAAATGTGGGATAGACAGCATCACCACCAAATGGATTTGTAACTAGTTGACAAACCGCATTTAATGAGTAGTCCTTAATGGTACTACATTAGAAGTAAACAGTGGGGTACCGCAAGGTTCCATCTTAGATACAGTATTCTTCAATATCTTTATAAACGACTTATATGAGGGAATAGAAGGAGAACTCATCAAATTTGCAAATGACACTAAGCTGGCAGGAATAGCCAACATCCCAGAAGACAAACTCAGGATCCAAAAAGATCTTGACAGACGTGAACAATGGTCCCTATCCAACAAATTGGAATTTAATGTGGAGAAAAGCAAGGTTTTACATAGCAGGAAAAACCAAAAGTACATGTACAGATTAGGCTAAACCTGGCTCAAAAACTGTAACTGTGAGAGGGACATTGGAGTCTTAGTAGACAATCACTTAAACATGAGCCAGCAGTATGTGGCAGCAGCCAAAAAAACTAATATAACCTTTGGTAAATCTATAAACAGAGGCATCAAATCAAAATCACAGTAAATTTTAGTACTACCTTATAAAGCCTTATTAAGACCACAACTGGAATATTTCAAACAGGTTTGGTCATCACATTACAAGAAAGAAGTTGAGACTTTGGAAAAAAGTGCAGAGAAGAGCAACTAAGACGTTTAAAGGCCTGGAGACTAAAATGTATGAAGAACAGCTGCAGGATTTGGGTTTGGCTAGTCTAGAGAAAAGAAGGACTAAGGGGTGACATGATAGCAGTATTCCAGTATTTGAGGGACATATTGTTTTCCTTAAAATATTTTCTTCTAATAGAATTCTGATTAATGAGAACATATTTCTTGCCTTGATATGAATGTGTTCAGTAATATTATGCCTGGTTAACATAGCATTTTCTTTTTTAAATAGTCTACTTTTTTCTTTCATTGTTGTTGCAGTTTTTATTATAAAATGTTTGCCACAATTAACATTTTAAATCACTGAAGTTGCTATAATGTTTCCAATTTCTTGGGAAGCTGACATTTTAGTATATTTAAGAATATTTTACATTAATTCTAATCTTCAAGGTCATAAATGGTATGGACCAAAGCCCTTTTAAAATTAGCTTCCACCTATAGCCATGATAGCAAATCTATGGCACATATGCCACAGATGGCACGTGGAGCCATTTGTTAGGGCACGCAAGATATTGCCTGTCAGTTGCAGCGCGCATGCACGTGCTGGCCAGCTGGCTTCGACCTTCTTTTGAGGCTGTTTTTCACCCCCCGGAGGTTTCAGTTGCCTTCAGGAGGCTTTTCTGAAGACTCTGGAGGGCAAAAAATGGCCCTATGGACAAACCGGAAGTCACCATTCCCAAACTTCCGGGTTTCCCATAGGGCCATTTTTCACCCTCTGGAGGCTTCAGGAAAGCTCCTGAAGCCTCTGGGGGGCCTCCGGGGTGGGGTAGAGGGGCTGTTTTCGCCCTCCCCAGGCTCCTAGAAAGCCTCTGGAGCCTGGAGAGGGTGAAAAAAGCATGCCAAAAGCAAGGGGAGCGCTGGTCATTCACACATGTGTGCTTGCTCGCGCACATAGCATTATGAATGTGGCATGCCTCTGCACAATCCCTCTGCACTCCCCCCGCTTTTGGCACGTGATCTAAAAATGGTTAGCCATCACTGACCTGTAGGAATCTGTCCAACCTTTGCTGTAATAACCCTTCCACTTGCTATCTAAAGAATGGAAGGTGTACATAAAAGAAAAGGCTTTCCCAAAATTGATTAAAAGGCACCAAAATTCTTTTTCAAAAAAGATATATTTATTTCAGAGTCCAAATCTAATTTAATAAATAGACAAAACTTTCAAAGCTTTCTTTCTGATTGCTATCTGAGCTATATGGTAATATTGTCTTCTATTATTTTTAAGATTATCAATCTTTTTGTGGCTGTCATCATGGACAACTTTGATTATCTGACACGTGATTGGTCTATCCTTGGTCCACATCATCTGGATGAATTTAAAAGAATATGGTCAGAATATGATCCTGAAGCAAAGTAAGTTACACTCATGACTACAATACATCCCCATCAAAGGAGGTGAAAAACAAAGCAAAACAATGCCTAATTTAAGTCAATACTCTTTAACTTTTTTAAAATCTTTTTTTATAGAGGGAGAATAAAACACCTTGATGTTGTTACTTTATTGCGACGTATCCAGCCTCCCCTTGGCTTTGGGAAGTTATGTCCTCACAGAGTAGCCTGCAAGGTAGGCCGAGGTCATTGAATCTTTGAAAACCTCTACATAATGCACTTTTCTAGAGAAGAGATACCTGTATAATCATTGCACCCAATTCTCCAGTATTAATTATTAGCTTTTTCACTAGGCTCTGTTGGATATTATACAAAAATAATGCCACTTCTTTCCTTTGTTCTGGTTCATTGAAATGGAGTAATATTTGACTGGTAGTATAAGGAAGTTTTGAAGAATTCATTCAATAGTCAAGATTTTTATTAACTGCCTATTCACAGTTAAGAAAGAAGGTAAAGAAAGCTTACCCTAATTAAAGCAAGATTATTGATGGTTCTTAGTTAAAAAAAAATACATGACATGGATTTTGCTGCTGAGATCACTAGCTCATGTGACTCATGTAACTTCCAACTAGGACTAAAAGGCCAGCTGAGATACTTCAATCAAAAAAGGTTGCCTATCAACATAGAATATAAGCAGGAAAAGCACAGTAGCTTCTGGTTGTGTGGACATTTCAGGTTTATACTGAAGTTGTATATACAAACACCATCCTATCTTCAACAGATCAGCAGTGTTGTGGAAATAGCAATAGCATTTAGACTTATATACCGCTTCATAGTGCTTTTACAGTCCTCTCTGAGCGGTTTACAGAGTCAGTCTATTGCCCGCAACAACCTGGGTCCTCATTTTATCTACCTCGGAAGGATGGAAGACTGAGTCAACCTTGAGCCTGGTAAGATTCGAACTGCCAAATTGCAGTCAGTGGTAGTCAGCAAAAGTAGCCTGCAATACTGCTCTCTAACCGTGCACCACCACGGTAATGCCTTAACATTTATACTAAAGAAGTAGTAAGAAAGTGAATCATAGCATGAAACTATCATTCTTCTATTAATGTAGATTAGCAAATGCCTTTAAATTATCCATGAGGAGAGCATGATGGAAAGGATCATCTTATTTTCTTTGATAAATAAAATACTTATAGTTAAATTAAAAAAAAAACACATGGCTCATTTCAGAACAATGGAAATTTAAAAGATATCTAGAATCGTTATCCACAGAAATTACTTTTGATTCTTCCTGCAGCTGTAAATATTTCCCACTGATTTTATGAGAGAACTAAACAACTATGAAGCTATCAAATAAAAAGAAATGAAACTTTTAGTAATTATGGTATGCTCATCCCAAATATTTATCTTCTTATCTTAATGTATAAAGTATGTTTGGTATGAATTGTTTTATGCATTAATTATAAAACACACTTATGGAACTCTCATGTCAGGCAGAATTTCCTCTATTTTGTAAGATATCCCTGTAGCATTCAGCTAATGATAACTATGAATAATAATAACTAGTTGATTATGATATGACATCCTATGCATTTTTAGATTAATTTCCTGGGCATACACTTTAAACATCTGCTAAACACATTCTTCGTGTCTATTTGTTTTTTTAAATATCTGCAGAGGTTGGTAGCCATGAACATGCCCCTAAACAGTGATGGAACAGTTATGTTTAATGCTACTCTATTTGCTTTAGTAAGAACAGCCTTGAAGATCAAAACTGAAGGTAGGCGCCTACAATAAACATTTTAATCATTCTTTATTTCTCCTTATCAAATAATTAGTACTGATCATTGGTATATGTGGTGGCCACCCTGGAGACTTTGTAAATGTAAAAGGTTGCATGTATGTCTATGGAGATTCTCAGTCATCCAGGTCATGGTTGTCCCAAAGATGCTTTTTTTCAAGAGGCAATTGGACTTTCTGTTTTTTCTTTGAAGATATTTCACTTCCCATCCAAGGAGCTTCTTCAGCTGTTACTAATATAAACTTCAAATGATCAGCTGTCTACAAGGAATAGAAATCCTTACATTCCCCACTATCCAGTCAGAGCTGAAGAAGCTTCCCGAATGAGAAGCGAAAATCTTCAAAGAATAACCATAAAATACTGTTGCCTCTGGAAAAAAGCAACTTTAGATTGCAATTTATGGTTCTGTGTAAAAGTATTGTAGTTATGTTTGTAGCACGAAATCACAGTATTTTGTGGGACAATAGTTTCCTTTACCAAAAAAATAGCATGTAGTGGGAATCAGTTGCATTTTGAACTTGGTATGCACACTGGTTTTGATTTCTCAAAATCTCTAGCCTTCAAAAAATTGTACATATGTGCAATCAGAAAATATGTTTTATCAAATATGAATTTCAATGGTATCAGTAGCTTCTTTATTTTGCACATTTGCTTCAGTTTGGTATCTACGGACCAGAGGACCAATTATTCATAACCATTGTCTTCCTTTTGACAGCTGCTTCAGTACATCCAGGGAATTTACTATCAGGAGATAAAATTTTGCATATGTCCAATACATCAGATGACTTTTTGAACTACTCTATATTTTTAAGATATAAATCTGTTTGGCAATGATGGCATTTCATATAAAGTCTTCCTTGTTATGCTACTTGTTCATTGAAATGGCTGTCACTAATGTTGGTGTCTGTCAATTTCCTTCTGGATCCTAACCAATATTTATTCTGTGCTGATTGCTGAAGGATCTGTGAAATTAGCCTCCTGCTGTCACCCTCCAGCTATCACCCTCCAATTCAGGCTTGTGAGCTTCTCAAATGTATCCTGGTGGCCACTGTGTTTGTTTCTCTATTCATTCTCTTCCCTTGGCACAAAAACAGAGCAATGTGGGTGTGTTCCTGAAACAGTCCAAGTCAGATAGGAACCACTTCAAAATCTGTTAATCCAATCGGCCAGTCTTGCTGTGGGAGGAGAACATCACAAATCTACTGGAAGTGATAGGTCTTCTCTTGAATCTGAGTCTTTTGAATCTAGAGGAGTCATATTTGACTATGTGGTGTTGTCCCAAAGCAAAAGCAAACTAAACTAGTGTCAAAGCTATTGACCTTTTGTGGAAACTTCATTTAACTTTGGCTTAGCTGTAGAGATCCAAACCATGTGCAGAGATATTGACATTTTGCTCTTTAGTTACGAATTCCTTCCTTCCTTCCTTCCTTCCTTCCTTCCTTCCTTCCTTCCTTCCTTCCTTCCTTCCTTCTCACTTTTCTCAGGAAATTTAGAGCAAGCAAATGAAGAACTCAGGGCAGTCATAAAGAAAATCTGGAAGAAAACTAGTATGAAGCTCCTGGACCAAGTTGTTCCTCCTGCTGGTGGTTAGTAACATGATTTCCTATAACTTCTACATTTTAAATACAAAACACAGAAAAATACTACAACAGAATGCTAATGTTAACCAAGCGACAAGATAGTAAAATTTTATATACCAATTTACAGTAAAACACACAACATAGCATTCTGAAATAAAGAATTTAAACTTCAACCTTACATAAACCTTTCAATTTATAGGCTTCAGAATAATAAGAAGCCTTTATTATCTTCACTAACACATTTAAATGTGGAATTTAGTCTAAAATTTTTGAGCCATTCTTTCATTTATTTTCCTTCAACACAAAATGATCATGTAAGCTAAATTGCTTCCAAAATTTAAGAAAATATTTAATCAAGAGTAAGTAATTTTATTAAGAAACACAGAGTAAACAATCCGCTAATGTTAGTATATTAGCTAGAACTATGTAACTAGGAAAGTTATAATTGATTTAAATGAAATTATGCATCTAAGTTAAATGCAAAAATGCTTATTAACTATATATGGATGGTTATATTCTTGTTGATAGATATAGTGATAAAGCGTTGACTTTGGGTGATGTTCTGATTTGCTGTTTTCATTTTAAAAGTGCAGGATCTCTTGTACAGTTAGAAAACATCTGAGGCTGTTGTCAGACATCCAAGAGACTCAGCTATTGGGGTTCATCTTCTAAAATGTTTATGTTTTACTGTACTTCTTTACAGTGGCGGATTAAGGCTCACTGGTGCCCTAAGCACTGACAAATCTGGTGCCCCCCTTCTTTGTACATACTGTACAAATCTTCATCGGCTTTTTTTTCTTTCTCAACTTTGTGGTGCCCCCTTTGGGCCTTGTGCCCTAAGTATGTGCTTAGTCTGCGTAATGGTTAATACACCACTGCTTCTTTAGTAGTATTGCACCCTTCAAGCTCACTCTGGTTTAGGTTTTTAAAAATGACTTACTGCTGAAGGTACTAAATTCTGTCTTCCCTCCAAAGATGACCTCCTTAGTATTTCAGGAGACACAGAGAGAGAGACAAAGAGAAAAGGCATGTTTAGCTGTCCTACTTTTCAGCCAGCCCAGAAGAAGCCCCTGGCAACTGACAACTCAGATTCAGGGTGGGATGGGACAATGCCAAGCAATGCCAACTGTCCAGAGAACAGATACTGCACATTTAAAATGACATTTCTGTGTTCCATTCTGCTTTTTTCTAGCCGCACAGCTGATTTCTTGCATGGCCTAGATGAGTTTGCTTTTGTTGTAACAATGTGCTTGAGCTTTTTCTGCAGCCTCTATTCCTTTCAACTATCAGTCTTTTCAGAATATTCTGAAGCAATTCTGTTTTAGGGTGGTGGCATGGAATCAGTGTTGCCTCTGGCCAGCTTTATTCCCCTCTTTTTATTGAAATACGGAGACATGCTTCAGAATAGCAAGCCATGGCTGTCTAAACTGAGCATGAAGAGCCTTTTACTGAGTATGTGATTCAGACCTAACACATAATGCAGGCCTTAAAGTAGAGTTGGAGAGTTCAGCACAATTGCCTCACCGTGTACAAAATGATATCAATGTATTTGTGACAAGATGAGTGACCGAACCTGCCTAAAGCAAAGGCACAAAAGTTGTCATTAAAATGCAGGAAACAGAAGACTGCCAAATTTTGGTGCAACACTAAATTCACCAGCACAGAGAAATCTTTACAGAGTATAGGCAACATGAAAAAGGAAAGGACGTCATAATAATATGGGAATATGAAATAAAAACAAACCTATAGGAAAGGAAGCCTGCAGATTCTCACGAGTCTGAAATAAGTTTAAGATTATATAGCTTCAGTTTAAGCAACATCATAATTTGAAGAAAACTTTGTGAATTGTACTGGTTTATATTTCAGATCAGACCAATGGGTTAGAATGAAAATAGATCTATTGGATAAACCAAAGTTTTTAATCTATGTTAAGTTAGGTCACATTATTTCTTAGTTTCAATATGCATTACCACTCTCAGACAAGACCTAAACAGACTAAATGTTACAGTCATTTCACCATCTCTCAATAATAAGCAGGGTTATGGAACAAGAACTACTAAGATAAGAAGGTATTAGATATTTTTAGATACTATTAGCATTAAATCCACTAATTTTCTTAATTTATTAATACCTCGAAAGAAACTAAAAGTGATTTGCATATCATGTGACAAGTTATACTGCAAAAAATGTAGTTCAAAATGAACGATAATAGGAAGAAAACCCCACTAGAAGTCATTTGTCTGTTTTATTCAAAGGTTTCTTTTAATGCCCCTATTCTTAACTCTTTTCCAAGCACAGACACCTATCTAGTATTCTCTTTTTTCTTCCATACTTGTTTTGTTGAAATTCATTCCCTTCTAATATTTTTTCGTGTAGATATCAGCTTTGTTTCTACACCCTCTTCTTCCTAGCTGTTCCCCTTCACGTGCCTAGCAATGTATACTGTGCCCAAGATATTAAGAAAGGGTCCATGTTTGGTATGTGAAATGTGCTCTACGTCTCTCCACTTTGCATATTCTGCTGTTCTATTACAAGCAAGAAATTGCAAGCAAAGGCAGGTGAATGTGGGAATACGGATGTGTGAATATCCACTTTCAAACATGCTTATACATCAGAAAAAAGCATTTGTATATTCTAATAGGTCAGCTTAAGGCATGTTTGTCTATTATAGTGTACAAAGTATTTTGTCCCATTTACTTTATTTCTTAGTCCTCTGAAATCCATTTTAAATAGCCTTCCCATATTAAAATTAATAGTTTGAGAACTTTTTGAAAAGAAGCTTTGTCATAAGCTCATAATTATCTTAATAAATATTTTTATTTGTATCTCGCCTTTATTATTTTTACAAGTAACTCAAAGCAGCAAACATAACCAACATGTCTTCTTTCTATTTTCCCCACGAGCAACCCTGTCAGGTGGGTTGGGCTGAGATAGAATGACTGGCCCAAATTCACTTTCATAGCTCAGGTGGGACTTAAATTCACTGTCTCCCACTTTCTAACTGGTATCAGATTTGGGTTAATGTCAGGGTTCCAAGTAACTTGAAGCTAGGGTTTCCTCAAAGTTCCATTTTATTGGAGATGTAATATTGGCACACCGAATCTGAAAGCTTCCAGGTTTTCCTCACTCAAGTGAAAGTTCAAGTCCCTGCCCAGCACCCACATGTCCATCACATGATCCAATCAGGATCCAATCCAACTGGAAATGCCTCCCAGTCACAGCACTCCAGGTACAAGGCAAAATATCCTTGACTCTCTGAGAAAGAAATGTTATTTAGACTATCTATCTCCCATACACCATATAATCCCCCCTCCCATTTTTCCCACAGTAGAAAATGTGGCAGGCCTCAAGGCCCAAAAGATGTAAAGGATAGCTTCCAGGCCTGACACCTGGTATCTTAACCATTACCAATATCAGATCTGT